TTCACCTATCCAATCCCAAAATCGCTACGGCACATACATCAATTTAACATAGTGGCCCAGACGTATGAAATGCTGCCCTCGCAATAAATTGTTCGATCGTAAATGCTCATGTCATCTTTGTTAGCAACGATATGTGCTATCATATGTAACTCCTTCTCACTCCCATTCTCTCTCTCTCTTTCTCTCTCTTTCTCTAGCTCTCTTTTTCTCTCTCGTTCTCCAAATCAGTATTCAGTCTCGACCTATCATTCTTCACTTCTCTTTTGCTGTAACTTTGCATCACCAGGAACCCCATTATCATCTTCTTTCTATTTGTTACCAATGATGAGGAATAGTGTTTCCTTTTTGGAAATTTTTAGTGTACTGAAATATTTCCTTTTTTTAATTTATTTCTTATTTATTTGTTCTTCTTTGGGCCTCGCTATCATATAGAAGAAAAAAGAGGATCATAGCATACGTGTAAAATGATGGATTCACTGGAAAGAATTAAATTCCCAATACTTTGACACCTACACAAAATTTATATTTTCGCTGTTTGCTTGAATATGAAAAAATACCCTGGACAATAATGTCGATAATGAGAGTATATTGATAAGCATAAACTCAACTCCCTCTATCGCTATGTTGTAATAGGTGTGTATTTTCGGTTTCTAAATCTTCAATATTTCTTTACAAAACGACATTAGAAGTTCGTCGATTATATTTTACAGCCACGAAGCCTTAAACATACATAACAAACTGCTGGTTTCAAATAAATCCTCTTTGGTAACATTCTTCAAACTGCAATATATTATTTGATTTCAAAACATAATGCACAACTATCACAATAGATTCGTTATATGTGTAGGTGTAATACGTGCATTTTATTTTCATCTCACAGCAACCGACAACAGAGTAGGAATAAAAGCAATCTTGAATGATAAGTAACAAAATGACAATATTTAAATTTGAAAAGCCATATTTGTAAATGTAATGAGCATATAAAGCCCTGTGTTGTTACTATGAGAACACTTTGTCTTATCATCTTTACTATTTGAAGACAAGGAATCTATTTCTGTTCGTTATAAATAAATACAATTTTCGAATCCTTTTATGTAATAATACATGCTGGTATATCTTAAAGGTCTAACATTTTATAGCACCGCATTGTGGTGATATGTCAGGCATGTACTACAAAATAGACCATCAGCTGTATCAAGCAAGCATAGTTATTACAATTTACATATGTTGCACTCTACATGTTACATACGTACATAGTTTGAGTTTGAGTTTATTATCCAAACAAAAAGTACATCAATATAACAATCAAATGTGACTGGTTAACATTGAAAGGATAAATGAGACCAGAAAATAGCATTTAATGCTAATCGTGTCTGGTACCTCTAACACACAAAAGTTTTAAAGCAATGATTGAGAACGTAATGAATAAATATGAATAACTATTGAATACATACTTAAGCTACAAGCTATTCTACATCTAGGATAAATATGTTCTGTGATTAAATACAAAACTTTGGTATTTTACACTAAATACAAGATAACGAATTATATAACATAATATTTACAAAAAGGCAAGAACCTTGGTTCAAAGTTAAAAACAACTTTTCTATTAACATTTGTGATATTAGAGTTCTACGAAAGCAAGACACTGATGCTTTCTCCCGTACAGATAGGGGTAGATCATTCCAATAACGTGTGGCCAGTGGCGGATCCAGGGGGGGGGGGGCCCGGGGGGCCGGGCCCCCCCCCTTGAGAAAAAAATCATGTAAAATCACGTGATTTTTACGATTTTGGGGGGTTGGGCCCCCCCCCTGGCGCTCAAGGGGGGGGGTGCAAATTGAAATTTTTTTGAGGACCAAAAAAAAAAATGTGCTCACTACCGCCCCCCCCCCCCCCCCCCCCCCCCCCCCCCCCCCCCCCCCCCCCCCCCCCCCCCTCACTGAGCGAATTTTTGGCCGGCGCGTTTTTCAAATTTTCGGGAGCAAAAAAAAAAAAAAAAAAAAAAAAAAAAAAATGTGCTCTGTACCCCCCCCCCCTCCCCCACTGAGCGACTTTTCGGCCGGCGCGATTTTCAAATTTTCGGGAGCTAAAAAAAAAAAAGTTGGGCCCCCTCCCCTAAGAAATCCTGGATCCGCGCCTGCGTGTGGCTCTGAATGACATTGAAAATTTACCCTGCGTTTTGCTTATTTTAGGCACACTGAACTTCTTACTTTTTCTTTGTCTAGTCTAATAGTTGTGCTCTATGAAATAGCAATACTGAATTAGAGACTGCGGCAATTTATCATTCAATAATTTATACATAAAAACACAAATAGATAGTTTATGGATTTGATACAAATTAAAAAAATTTAGCTCCCGGAATATCGGTTGTGAATGAGTCCTTATTGGACTAAACGTTGTAACTCTAGTGCCATCTTTTTCATGTGCCATCTTTTTCATAATTACTTCCCCAAACCTCAATTTCGTAGGTCATATGCGGTTGAATTAACATCTTATACAGTACCAACAAAACACGCCTTGGCACAAACTTTCTAAATCTATATAACACACCAACCCTTGTCCTAATACACTTATTAACCCTTTGGATATGAGGTTTCCACGTCAAGTGATGATCTACATCAATTCCTACAAATGATGCAACATCAACCTGGGCTATTTCAGTCTCTGCTATTTGTTAGCATCCCTTGAGTTACTACTCATTGCCTACTCTCTCGTATTAACACATAATTAGTCTTTAACAGATTGACTGTAAGTTTATTTACACAATTTCTGAAGGCATTTTTTTTTTTTTGGGGGGGGGGGCTCACATGGTAAAGTAAATCAGAAGAAGAGATCTCTTAATTGTCAATAACACCTTTGAACAACAAATTTGAAATAAACAATTTACAAAAGACTGAACTAGTATTCAAATGTTTTATATATGATTAACAAAAAGTTTGATACAAATATCGCTAATCTGTTTACCTAGGTAAATACATGTAATCTAGTATCTCAAGTTACACTTCGGCATTCTCAATATTTTACAAGACTGCATCCAGATTACGTACGTTTTGACATTTGACTATAATAACGGTTTTTTTTCTCGTGTTTTTTTTTTGCCAAGACTTAAAAATTGTAGTTATGACTATGGAGAGTTTTGATAATGCTATTTTGATAGCAAATAAGAGTTGCTATTCGAGCAAGAATGATAATCACCTTACTTCAAGCACTGTAAACCATGCAAACAGACTTGTTACTAACAATGCGTGACAATTCAAATCTCGAAGCTTACATAATTGATTCAATTACATTTTATATTGAACAGCAAAGCAGAATAAATGAGGAGCATATCAATTAATAGCAAAACCTCAACGAGACAAAACATGAAAGAGAAGAAACTTATTTTTTGTAATCCTTATTTAGGTGAAGCCACAGCGCGGCAGCAGGGCTAGTCTAGAATCTGCCCTATTTAATGTTGCACTCCACCATGTACACCAACGCTACCTCCCCCTACTCACTTGCTACCAGCCGATGATGGCGTGATCATTAAATTAGGACGCCCGGCGGAAGGATGGGCTGGTGAGCATAATTATGAGTTTGTTGACAACGCCATCTTCGACGGCTTGAATCAAGTGTGTATGGAATGATAAAGGACCGGTCAAATAATACAATTATCATTATATTAACTTTAATAACATTACAAAAAATGACAGCATTAAGATTTAGAAGAAGTCTTCATGCTTTAAAACTTCAGGCTATCCAGTTATGCCAAGAACTTCATATCTCATGGCCTGGTGCCAATGCCACGTGAGTGGGTGTATTCTGACGTATCGAGCAGTGATTGGTCGAGGGAATAGTATAGTCTCGGGAGTGTATTCATTGTAGTTTGCTGCGTAGACCTGAAAATCACGAGGAGAAAGTCAACATTTTAAGGTCATTGCATTAATTTTCCGGTTCAATTATGTCTCACAGCATAAGCTGAATTGCGAATGCGTACTCACAAACTAAAATAATTTTTGAAAAAAAAGTACATGTATTACTATCGAATAGACATGATAGAATTGGCGAAAAACGATGTCTAATAAATATATGTAAGCTGGGTATGAGTATAAGATATGATTACATAAAAAACACGTACAACGGCATAGGGGCACAATTTCCCCAAGAGGAGGGATGACCTCTCTCGCTAAAATATTAACTTTAAAGAGATCCGGTAATTTTGTCTCAGATTCTGAAACAAAAATCCTGGATTTATCTCATGCTGCAATGACAATTATAAACCTTTAGGTCAGTCAGGAACCACATGACTTTAACAAGCCGATCGCCTGTCCGATTATCAAGATATTTATGTTTGGAAATCGAAATCAAATTTTGCGTTTTCCTAACTTTTGTTATTACACTACAGTCTATTGAGGGAAACGAGTATGGTAAAACCGGTCACTCAAAGGTTTTAACTTTTTTAAGGCACTTCTTGATCATTTTGAAACGCAATTTATTTGGGGCTTCAATATTATACCATATTACAGACATTGATAGCACGTAGGGCCGTGCAACTAAGCTTTAACTTCGTTAAACGATGCCTTTAATTAGAATTGTAACAGTCCCCATCAAGTTTTTGAACGCCGATGTTCTTCTTATTAAACAGTGTGATTCAAAAAGTTAACACCTAGAAAATTGCTAATTGTTTTAAAAATCATCTATGAACGGTAAATTATTATACATCTTATGAAGGAGTATTTTTTGTTTGTGGTATGTGTTCACGTTTGGGTGAACAGGAAACATTGTTTTAGAGAGTTCAAAAGTCGACTCACGCCAAAGTAATACATGTGATGTTTGAATAAAACGTTTGGGATTTAGGAATTAATTCGGTCTTTGCAGATCCAAATAACATCCGTAATAAACTTAATCATGCCACACATATCAAAAATCAAAGAAAAAAAATTGCGCGCGCTCGTGTGTGTGCACGCGCGTGTGTGTACGTGTGTGTGACTTTGTTACAGTCAATATCAATTTAGCTCCACTTAAAACAAAATACAATGACCACGAATGAATTAATTAAGTAATGTTAAAGTTTGCAGTTACAAACATTTCTCTAAACATAAATATTCACTTATAAATTTCGCCTACGACCCAGAAGACACAAAACCTACTTTATTCTTCTGTTTGTCTACATGTATTTCTTCGATTTTCTTTTTCTCAGTCAGATATTTATTTACTTGTCTTCTTCAACTTATTTTTCACAACGGGATGTGTGTTGATTGAAAGCAGGGTATTTTATGAACACCGTAACCCCTGTTGTAATATATTTTCAATTGCGCCATCATTCGGTAAAGGTGCGCATAGAGCGATCCTGCTGTTACTGTAGCAGCTTTTTGATTATGCACACGAACCGTAGATTCTCTGTCCGCAATGAGTTTGCGAAAACTCCCTAATTTCAACAGAGACAACGGGATCGAAATCCCCGAATTTTGGATGCGTACGAGACGACGCCACGACACTCCCCTTCAAGCCGGCCCGCATCATGCCAGCGGCCCGTTGATTGGTTGAGCACGCTTTTGTTCTCGCCCGGCAGCGTTATTTTTTTATGCGGCACAGATTGGGGCATGGTGCGTGTTGAGCCTATGGGAAGTACGTTCTTTCCCGTCTGAATAGTGTCTGCACGTACGTGAGACTAGGCATGTTCGCTAGCGCATTAGCGCTGCGAAGAAGTTTGAATACCATCGCGAACTCCCGGCCCCCCCCCCCACTCAGTGTTATTTAGGGTACGCATATGCGTGTTCCAACCGACCCCCCCCCCCCCTTTTCAGCAAAAGTCCGGTGTGTAAAGTCAATACGGCTCGACCTTTTTCTTTTGTATACGAGCCTTTTTCAGCATCCCCCCTTTTTAGCAAAAGTCCGGTGTGTAAAGTCAATACGGCTCGACCTTTTTCTTTTGTTACGAAAAGGACATTTTGGCAACACGCATGCGGTCATTTTGAAACCTGAGTGGGGGGGGGGGGGGGGCCGGGCGCGAACTATGTGTTTAGATAACATTCCTCTTCGTTTAAGTTATTAAGTTTACTGTTTTATTGACTAATTATTGTGATGTTCTCCTTATTGACGTGCTGCCTCCTCTTCAGATTTCCAATTGCATTTTAATTGTTGATGTAATGATTTCATACGGTAGTGGATTACATGTAACACTATTAAAAATAGAACTCTACTACTAGTACGCACACGACCACCATTAGTCTGTAAATCAAGACCCCTTTTTAAAAAAAAGCCCCAATCTGTGCCGCATAAAAAAATAACGCCGCCCGGCAAGTGAGCCGAGTCAACGGCCTGTTTATTAGTTGAGTACCCGTGTGCTTTGGCCGATAGGCCTTGTCCGTTATTGTTCGAATTATTGATCGAATTATTTGACCGCCGGTCCACCCGTAGAGTATAAAAGACACTTGCTTACAATATATTTTATCACCTGACGAAGTGTTGCAGCGGAGCACGAAACTTCGTGATCTTTTGATCCCTTGTTGACCATACATTGCGAGACAAACAAATACACTAGCGATATTATTTTCGAAACTTACTTTTTGTTCACCACATTGTGGTTCCAAAGAGTAAGTCCACGTCAAGTTATCCAGCGAATAGGACACCTTTACAGACGTAACCCATTGTGGCAGCTTGTATCTGCCTTGTATGATAACACCAGTGACGGTAGAGGTCTTTCCAAGATCTATCTGACTCGTCAGTGCATTAATAGCAGTAAGAATTATCAAAAAGTAACTAATAAATAAACTGATATGAATATATATAGGGAAAGAAATTTGACAAATACAAACAACTTTGCAGACAACGACTCTCTTATAATTAATATCTAAAGTCCTTTGGAAGCGCATAGATACGTTGATATGCGAATTACTACAACGACATATTATAGATTGTTATTATTATTATAATACACAATTTTGAATAACAAAAGTTCGATAATAATGTTGCTTAAATTAGCTCTATCAAAGTTTCTCATTGCTGCCCTCCCTTTTTGATTGAGTTACAACGTCAAAGCCATAACTACTGGGCCACTGAGAAGGGTCAATAGTTTCGGCGAGACCAGAATTAGTTGACTGACCGTTTGAGGAAAACAAAAATATTTTGTCGGCTGGAGGGGACAGGTGAGTTTTTAATAATGACAAGCCTTGTCTCTCAGTTGGATCCTAGCTTTGAACATGAATACATGCTAATATATATATATGTGTGTGTGGGTGTGTGTTGTTTTTTAGTGTGTGGGTATGTGTGTAAGATGACGACGATGAAAAGATATGAAAAAGAGAGGTTTTATGCTTTAAATCTAATAGTTTTCATTAGGTCAACATTTTTAGACGTTCCATAACATCTTTATTAAGTTATCAAGACAAAAATAAGAATATAACGCATTTCAACTCTCCAGGGCAATGCGAAACTAGTTTATAAGTAAGTAAATAATACCAATGGAAACACCTTACAGCTCAAATACATATATTTGCAAATAGTCTGAACACGTCACAAATAGTTACAAGCCAAAACTTGCTTTCAAAGAGTAGGGGAAGGGGGATAAATCATTCATGATCATATACCATCTTAGAGTTAGGGTTAGGGTTTCATTTAGACTTTACGTTAGGGCTAATATTATAGTGCTAGGTCTGCTGTTGAAGTGTAAGTGTAAGACCTTCAGGGAGAGCGGCATTAATTCTGACGTGGGTTTCCTTGGTAAACACAATCGTCATTATAATTAGTGTTATCGGACTCACCTTGACCCATTTATCTTTGTCATCATTCCTGGCAACCCATGCTGCTTTTATGTCAGACGTCATTCCACCGTTCAATCTTCCATCTGATGCAGTGTAAGGATTATTATACCTCGATGAGGAGGTGAGACTAGAGTCTGGGATTCGTCCATCTTCCACTCCCATTCCTTCCCCTCGTATAGGACGTGAACAGGTAACCTCTTCCTGGTTCATCGCAGCTGAAGAAAACAAACGAAAAAAAAAACAAACTATATCAGTGTATAAAAAGACCCATTAGTAACAACAGAACTAACGAGAACTTATAACTGGCCCAAAAAGATTCTATTTTTAGTCGATTTGGCAATTTGACCGAGGCATTAGCTTTGTAATACTCTCTTCACATACACAGATTTTTCTTACGAGTCCTTGCGGATCGCCAAATCGAAAGCATCCGTAAATAACTCGCCGGTATCCGTAAATAACTCGTCACGACTCGCAACAACTCGCAAAAACTTTTAAGGATATGTCAAAAATCTTCTTACTATTTTCCACGGATTGATTTTTCCGTAAATAGCTCGATTCATTCCGTAAAGCAGGGCTCCCACCTAGCCGAATTGTATTGGCGAGTTATGGCGAGTTGTGATGAGTTGCCTCAAAGAGGCACTCGCAATACTCGCGAATAGTTCTTATTGTAACTCAGGATAACTCGCGACAACTCGGGATGGCTTGGCGTAACTTTTAACAACATTCATCGGCTCTCCTCGAAATCGCGAGCAGTTCAAGAATTTTGAACATGTTCAAAATTTTCACTGACTCGTTGTAACTCGAGATGAATTCGCTTACACTCGTATTATACTCGCTTTACTCGTAACAAGCTTGCACTGCACTCTTCATGACTCGTAGCAAGTCGCCACCTTCAAGTATACGCGAGTGCTATTCGAGTTTCCAAGAGTGAAGTACGAGCACGACGATCGTGCTGCGTGTCATGCCGAGTTATATACGATATTAACGCGAGTTTAGATCGAGTACGGGTACTTCAGGCGAGTTCCGTATGAGCATGAGCAGAGCGCAGGGCCAGCATAACGAGCATGATGAGCGCACCATGATACGTCAGCTGGCCTACAATTTATTGTGCAGAGGATCAAGGCCTGTTCTTCCTCCAACATATCGAGAAAATATGCTCTTGGCATCCATCTTTATTTTGGAGAGCGCCAAAATTAGAGGCAGCCCTATCCGGGGGGGGGGGGCAGGGAAGCTGGGGGCACAGTGCCCCACCTTTTCAAGTAATCGAAACGTGCCCCTTTTCCTTCGACAAATTCCCATTTTACTTAGCAATAAGTGCCCCTTTTCACTTTCGATAAGTGCTCCCTTCACCTCTGATAATTTGCCTTATTCAAATCTGAGATGTGCCTCTTTTATTTTGACAAGTGCCCCTTTTCTTTTGTAAGAAGTGCCCCTTCCGCTGTTAATAACTTACCCCCTTTTTAACTCGGATACGCGCACCTTATATTTTCACATGTTCTCTTATTCCTTTCTAAAAAGGGACCTATCCCCTTTTTATAAATGCCACTATTCACCTCTCATTAATGCCCCTATCAAAATCAGATGGGGGCCCCTTTTCCGTCGACAAATGCCCAAACCCCTATTTCATCTTTTCATCCTTGGTGCGTGCCTCTTTTTGGAGCTCTCACACTCTGCCGTGTAGGCCTACCGTCCACCTGCCGGGCTGTTAAAAAACAACAGAGTCCAGAACGTTGGGTTTTGAGCGAACTTGTCCCCGGCCGCAAAAAAAAATTCATAAAATTAATCTTTTCACCGTTTCGTTGCCATCTTCTGGCCGTTTCCATACCAGGCCCATACCGGGTCTCGAACGTGTGCACCGGGTTTGTAGCAGCCACCTACCAGTCACTTAGCGTCCCCTCACCGCTCGGAGCGTCCTGTGAGCGAGTCCCCGGACTGCTGACGTCATGACAAGAAAAAGTAAAGCTCATCTGACGAAACCCCTCTATATATACCCAATAATTAGTGACAAACGGTGGCACACGGTGACAAAAGAAAATTTGTTGGTAATGGCACGTTCATATGACGCTACTGTGAAGGTAAGGACACGTTATGGACCCGTTATAGGACGTTATGGGAACGTCGAGGCGTTAACAGGATGTTACCCATGCGTTAGGGAGGCTGAATCAGGCGGTACCGCTTTGGAAACACCCGTTGGCAGTCCGGTATGAACACTGTAATGAGGACGGTATGAATACGTTATGAAGACGGTGGCACGGTATCAACACGTTCATGACATGTTTACAACCCGCTTACAACCCGTTGCAGACGGTGGATTTGTTTTTGCCCGTTCATCACCGTTCTGTAACGGGTTATGAGCGTGGTGTGAACGTGTTCATACAGTGTGACCGTTTTCATCACGTATTCATACCGTCCTCATACCGTTCAACACCGTCCTCTTGCCGCTTACTTGCGGCCGGTGCCAGGCGGCCAAAGTTTTGAACATGCCCAAAACTTTCGCCGGGTCCCACCGGGTGTAAATAAGCGCCAACGCCCTATTAACGTGTTGCCCGCTTTGATAACGAACCACCGTGTGCCCTCGCCGTTCTCCACCGTCCGCAGACATTTTCGCGCACGGTGGCACACGGTAGGCCTACACGGCAGAGTGTGAGAGTCACTTTAGAAGGTGTAAGAAGTTCCCCATTTTCACCTCTGATAATTACTCTTTGTACTTTGAAATGAGCTCCTTTTCTTTTTAAGCGACTAACAGCACCTCCTCCTAAATCTCGCTCTCTCCGGTCGCTCGCATTTATAGATGACATGTTGTTACTTATCAAAAGTCTTTTTAGTCTTCCGTTATAAAAACAAAATCTGCATATAACCCTATCAGGATTGGGTTTTTTGTTCTTTATGAGATTTACTTTTTTCGCACTGCGACTTCACGAGAGTTTACGCGAGTTAAGCTCGCGCCAGCTCGCGGCCCCAACTCGGCTAAGTGGGAGCCCTGTTTTAGTATCATAAACCGCTCGCAACAACAAGGTAACTGTCCGTAAACTGCACGCAAGAATACGTAAATGATTCGTAACATGTTTTGTTCACGATGTGTTAAACAGGGCTCCCACTTAGCCGAGTTGTATTAACGAGTTATACCCCCTTCACATACACGGATTTTTCTTACGAGTCTTTACGGATCGCCAACTCGTAGACAATCGCAAGCTTCCATAAATAACTCGCTGGCATTCGTTAATAACTCGTCACAACTCGCAACAACTCGTAGACACTCTTAAGGATCCGTGAAAGGAGAGGCAAATTTTTTGACATGTCAAAAATCTTCTTACGATTGTCCACGGATTGATTTGTCCGTAAATAGCTCGTAAATAGCTCGTAACAATCCGTAATCATCCTTAAATCGCTCGCAACAACACGTAACTATCCGTAAACTGCTCGCAAGAATCCGTAAATGACTCGTAACAGATTTTGTGTAACGATTCGTTAACGGTTAGTTTACGATTTGTTTACAGATGTACGGATTATTGCGAGCAGTTTACGGATGGTTACGTGTGCTTACGTGTTGTTTACGACTTTATTCGGGTCATTTTACGATGGCTTTATGGATTGATACGGGTTATTACGAGCATTTTACGTGTAGTTACGAGTACTTTACGAATAGATACGTATACTTTGCGTATGCTTACGAACTGTTTACGATTTGGGGAAAGGTATAAAAGCTGCAAATTCGAACACTTCATTTTCAGTTGTTATTTTTTGGCTAAAAATCGTAAGGACTTGTAAATAATCGTAACTTACTCGTAACTATTCGTAACAACACGTAAACAGGTCGTTACTAAGACGTTAGTTGCTCGTAGTTATCCGTGACAACTCGTAACAAATATTGGACTGTTGCCGTAAATACATCGTAATAACTCTTAATAATCCGTAATAAACCGCAAACAGCTCGTAATAACTCTTAAACCGGTCGTAAAAGTGGCCAAATCGTAAGGATCCGTGAAAGATCCGTGAATTTTTGCGATCCGTAAGGACTCGTAAGAAAAATCCGTGTATGTGAAGGGGGTATTATGGGGAGTTGTGGTGAGTTGCCTCATAGAGGCACTCGCAAAACTCGCGAATAATTCGGTATGGCTTAGCATAACTCTTTACAACATTCCCCGATTCGTTGCAATTCGAGGTGAACTCGCCTACACTCGTAATATACACGCATTACTTGTAACAAGCTCGCGCTGCACTCTTCATAAGGTGGCGAGTTGCTACGAGTGTTAAGCAAGTTCACCTGGAGCTACAAAGAATCAGCGAAAATTTTGAACATGTTCAAAATTTTCACTGATTCGTTGTTACTCGAGGTGAATTCGTTTATACTCGCTTATACTCGCATTACTCGTACCAAGCTCGCGCTGCACTCTTCATAAGGTGGCTAGTTGCTACGAGTTACATAAAGTGCAGTGCGAGCTTGTTACGAGTAATGCGAGAATATTACGAGTGTGGGCGAGTTTACCTCGAATTACAACGAATCGGGGAAAATTTTTGAACATGTTCAAAATTTTGGAACTGCTCGCAACTTCGAGCAGAGTCTTGGAATGTTGTAAAGAGTTACGCTAAGCCATACCGAATTGTTCTCGAGTTATTGCGAGTGCCTCCTTGAGGCAACTCACCACAATTCGCCATGACTCGCTGATACAACTCGGCTAAATGGGAGCCCTGCTTAACAGTTAGTTTACGATTTGTATAAGGATTATTTACGGATTATTACGTGTTTTTTACGATTTGGGGAAAGGGATAAAAGCTGCAAAATCGTCAGGACTCGTAAGTACTCGTACAATGTCCGTAAGTTGCTCGTAGTTATCCGTGACAACTCGTAACAAATGTAACAATTGAATTTTGCCGTAAATACATCGTAATAACTCGTAATAATACGTAATAAATCGTAAATAGTTCGTAATAACTCGTAACAGCTCTTAAATCGGTCGTAGAGGTGGCCAAACCGTAAGGATCCGTGAACGACCCGTGAAGGTTTGCGATCCGTTAGGACTCGTAAGAAAAATCCGTGGTTTTGGGGTATTAGTGAGGGGGTATTAGTGACGTGTATTGGACTAGTGTTTGGACTGGTGGACAAGCAACATGAATAAAGATAAGCGTCTGTTAAAGTGTCCTGTAGCAAAATATGAATCTATACATCCCCAGTAGTGAATGGGTACCTGATATGTTTCATCGCTAGTAACTTTTTGTATTGGCTTGAATTATTAATATTATTCCAATCCTTCTTTTCCTTCTTGGGTTAACAACAATGAAACCATACCCACCTACTAAGTCATTGAGAGGTCCGTAGCCAGTGAGCTCTAGTCTGAGGGCCAGCAGGGGGGGGGCCCTGGGGGCTGGTATTTCTTATGGGCTGTCTTGGGATAGATACGGAAGAATCGGCATTCGACCGGCGTAGACATGGTGTGCACCACATAACTATTGTGGTCGTAGTTTCCTGTGTAGACCTGAAAAAGATCATACAACAAATTCAAAATGATATTATTTAGGTTTGAAATGTTGAATTTCCAATATCTAATAATTAACGCAATTAATCGAATGACGTCGCTTTGAAAATATTTTTTTCCTTTCGTTGACATTATTCATTTGCAATACCTCTGTGAAAAATGTCCATACCTTCATCATTAATATTTTGAATGTTAACACAATGATGGAGACAAATCTTCATTTGCACATTTATCGCCTCCTTTTTTATTTACATAGTGATCTCATTAGATAGAGGCATTCTGGACCTTTATAATACCCTCGTATTCTAACTTAAAAAGAAAAGCATTATGATCCCACCTTATAACTTTCCGTGTGTTGTTTGACATTGTTGATAATAAAGTGACATTTTAAGTCAACGAATAATCAAACCTCGATGCATTCTTAAGCCTAAATAGGATAAGTTTGTAACAATTTGATTTCTTTTATTCTGCATTCTTATCACGGCAAACGTTTTCTCTCTTTCGCCATACTATTAGGCAGTTACGTATCTATACTTAAACCTTAACACAGCAACTTGTGATCAGGAAACATTTAAAGCCCCACTGTCCTACTAAAAGTAGCTACTTGCTCCCTCTATATAGAAAACTTCCCAAAGTGACCTGGCTGGGTGGTCTAATGCCTTCTGGCCCAGTAGTATTGACGGTCTTTAATGTCTTCCACAAGATTTAAACAAAACATTTTTGTGTAAGTTTGATTTTAATGGAGCTTGCAAATGTTTAACTACATTCACTGCACATGGCCTACATTTGTGCTGAGTTATATCTTCCATATTTCCTCCTATAACCAGAACTATAACCATCCAGTCGGAGGGGATTCTAGGGGGTTTCATTACGACTGTATCAGAACAAGTACCACACTGCTATCCCATAGAGAATATTCTTAAAGTGAGAAGAAAAAGAATTTATGGATATCCTATTTTATTCTCAGTGTCGTAGCTAGATTGGGTTACACGGGGAGGCACGTGCCCCCTCATTCGAATTACGAGAAAAGAAAGGAAAAGAGGCACATTAAAAAAAGAAGGGGGAAATAGGAAACAATGAGGAGGGAAGACACTGGGACCACTTTCACACTTACACTCTTATTAGTGGCCTTGTAAATCAGCATATCATTTACCCCAATGAGGCCGGTGCCCTCCTCCAATGATGCCCGTGCCCCTCAATATCCGGGCTCACACTACGCAATCGATTATAATGATTCATTTTATTGAGATTAACTCTTTATATGCCACACAAATACTCTTCCTGTGTCATATTGATCTTGCCAACTTGCCACGAGTTAGTTAACACGACCTTCCTCCGGCCAGCGTAACTTACGCAGAGACAGATACTCCCGGGTGTAAGTGAGAGCAAAGCCATCTACCCACAGAGTTTGGCAAACCCGGTTCGAGTTGGACACCTTTAACCTAGGGTAACTTGCCTCCGTCTGAACAATAATAATAATAATAATAATAATATGGATATTTATATAGCGCCGGTATACACCAGGCTCTGACTATTAGATAGACATGATGATTTAATTGTTTCCTGGGCAAGGTTAATCTATACCGGTGTTAAAAGGGGTTTTGTTGGAGCTATCAAGATATCGGACAAGGTTAATTTCGCAAAGCCATTGTGTTGCATAAAGCAAACTTTCCGTTAATTGGTACATATTATTTTGTGCAAAATGGCACGTCTGACAAACGAGCGACTGTGTAGAGAGGCAAGAAAAGCAAAACTAAGTCTTAATACCTTGACTGTGTTGGTGTTGATATCCTGGTAGTAGGTCCAATATGCTCCGTCCATACTGGATGAAACTGTGTACGATGTCACCCAATGTCTACTAAATTCCCAGCCTTGTGTCATGATGGCGGTGATGACAAAGGTGGAATTGAATTTGATCTGAAGCCAGGGGTCTTCGTCTTCATCTTTGGGGATCCAAGCAGAAGGACTGTTAAGACGTGCTTTTTGTTTACTGAAATAAGGACCCTGCTCACTCGAGACTGTAATAGCGCTGTCGGGAACCTTACCGCTTTCTAGACCGACTGGACTACCTCGAGGTGTGCTGCACAGGTTCACTGTTGAAAAAGAATCACAGAATTGCATTTTTAGGTCTTTACAACTCAGATAATGTTTATAAATAAACCACTGAACTATAACTTAACTAGTTGGGTTAAATCAGCATTCATATGCATGCGCCTTCTGAAGTTCTAGCACATGTGGGTTAGGAGACATGTGAATCTTTTGAGGTTTTTACCGACCACCTGTCTCAGTTGATCCGAATGCTCTACCAAACCCTGACGCTGAACCTAAACATAACTTTAAACAAAATTAAAACCGTATCCTATACCCTATGGCCCGTATTGTACTAAATCTTAAACCCCAGGCAGGGCCTAAGTTTTTATCCAATTTATATTTTTTAACAAGAAAAGTTAGAGGGAGATCTCGGTTTTATATTCTGAAACGTTATCTTAGACATGGGGTCGTGTTTGTCAAGAATATGGTTTTATAGCTTTGACAAATTGAAGCCTTGAACTATTATGACCCAAACAGATGTCTGAGCAACGTCTATGTTTTAGGCATTCAGAATCCCTGTAAATTCTATTACGAACCCAACTGAAACAGTGTATGCCGAATACCAAGGATGTTTGAGATGGAGAGCTTCAACTACCGATAATTAATGCAAACACAAGGCAAATCATAAAGGATGTAAAATGACATCAGATTCGTCGATGTCTGAAACTGATCCTTCCAAATTAAACAGGAGAGTTGTATATTTTTTTGTGTTTACATTAGAGATTAGAGAATTTAAACGAGGCTTATGATGTAGAGTTACAGAGGTTCAACAAAGAGAATTCTTCACAAATAGCTTTAGCGGTTTCCCCAAAAAATTAGTTTTTAAGGACAATTTCAACATCTTTTATAATTTAACATTTCAATCAGAAATTTTAAATTTCATATATCGTTATCGTGAAGTATGTCTCCATGAGAAAACAACCCAACCAATTAATTTGGCACACGTGGGCAGTCATTGTCATCGCGATTCTTGTATTGCTGGCACTAAATTTGTTCACTCTAACTGTAGTTTTGTCTGAGAAAACTATTTACCATTAGAATAATTGTATCTATTGTAAATATCCCATAGTGCACTAACAAATATGCAATAAAAAGAGAATTTGATTGCTTTCTAGTTTGATGAAAAAACAGACGTTATCAGAGAGCACGCATTTGTCGTGTTCGATTTCGCGGCATCGGACATACATCAAAGACAAGCTGTTTGTTGTGACTCCATCTATTTAAAGTCTCCTCGTCAATATATATTTTCATTTTTTTAAACACTCACATGTACAACAAACAACCGCTACACTCGCCTCCGTGCGGTTTTTCGCCGCCGTCTCCTCATACCAGCAGTTAGTAATGTTAGTCACGTTGGCAGGACATCTCACATTCACAGCCTCAGAATGATTATCTAAGGACGACATCTCGAAGAGATCTCCTCCTACTGTTGCATATACGTCTTTTAACAGAAGATCGGAAAGAAAATGAAAATAACAGATCAATTGAAACATATTAAGTAGTCACACTAGTGACTCTAATCTTGACTACAAGTAAACGTAATGATCTCTGCTATCAAGTATCTTCACCCGGTACGGAGTTTGATTGCAACATCTCTCCATTTCACTCTATCTTCTGGTGCACTCTTGAGTTTTAGTCTACTCCAGTTCTTGACATTCTCTTCCCAGTTGATTCTGGGTTTCCCTCTCGGTCTAGTTCCTTCCACTTTTCCCTCTATGAATATGAATACATATTGTCATTCCTGATTCTTGACTATTCTTGTCTCCAAACTGTATACTTATTATGTTCATTACAATGAGTAGCTATAAACGGTATGACCATACCAACTATATTTATAATATACTCATATGGAGAACAAACTATATTGTAATATTGTTTCAATAAGCTGCAGATATATTCCCTTCCCTTTTCCTTGTCTTTTGTAGTTAACTGTGAGTATCGGTTCATGTATCCCTGTAATCTCCCTTTCCCTGTTTTAGCGTGTATTTGTATTTTATAAACTTTACTTTAGTTAATTATGTCATGTTTAGTTTAAGGAGCCTATCCACAACAAGCTCTGCTTTTCCATAGGCTCCGCAACTGTATCTCTTAAGTTAAACTTAATGGACAATATTCTGAATAGTGTGTACCGGTATTGTATGTACATGTATAAAAATAATAATCATTTTAAATATGTTGTTACACTCTTTGTAAAATGAGATATTGTGGAAACCAATAAACTATCTATCTATCTATCTATCCTCTAACGCTTCCTTTAAGAGATTTTTTGCCTTTGTAACATGACCAAAGTCTTTGACTTTTCTCTCCTTAACTCTATGTTGCATTTGTCTTTATTCCTCAAAGATATCGACTAGTTTGGTCATGAGATTACATTGATAACAAAACTGTTTGGAAGCAGTTAGGATTATGTAGGTATACAATAATTGATGCACACTCAGACGTCGTTTCTGTGGATAGGTTATATATCCGGACAGTTGATTAAAAATGCAACTTGAAAAAAAGTTTTCATAAATCTTCTAAGACTTTTGTTAGGCAATATGATAAAGGACAAATATTCTTGATGGTAAATGCTTTTTGAAGAACACTTTTTGTTAAATCAAAAAGTAAAGGGTCCGGAGAAGGCTTTATGTTTGTTAAGTGTCCGAACACTTGCCCCGCTGCCTCCTTCTACCCTTTTTAAGCAAAAAGTTTACACTGTGAAGTTATGGAATCATCGAAATGGTAGGAAATTGACCCAGTCTTGTTAACAGTTACATGGACTGCACCAAGAAATGGTTATGAAATTACACAGACACGTATTACATAAGGGGTTGGTCCAAACCATTTAATCCAATTCATCCAAACTATCATTACAAAAACAATGAAAGAGCTGAACTTTTAAAAACCAAAAGTAAATACCTCAGGGACCACCAAACCTCCAAAATCGACTCACAAACTATCCAATCTTGTCCATTCGAGGGGGGGGGGGTAATGTAACATTTTGTTCAGTAGGTTGTCGGTCATGAAACACAATACAGGACTGTAAACTTGATAAAGCATTTACCTTTATATCCTAGATACTTGCAGACTAACCGGGAAGCGTTCCTTGACCAGTTTACTTGATAGATTAACATGTAGGTTGTAGGGCGAGAACGAGATGTGATAACAATTCTTCCTTCGCTTTCACTTCCACCGGCTAGTCCTAAAGAATGGATGAAGTTCCTGTGAGCCAATCCTTAATTTTGAAGAAAAAGAAAACAATACGTGTCCAAACTTGTATTAGCACCTAGCAAGGATCAATCCCTCGACCATTCCTATGCGATCGGGACTTTTCGATTTGCTTTTCGATAGACATGGTAGACTGCTACGTGTGACGTCCTTAAAAGGACTCCCCCCCTTCCTCGCGAAGCTCGGAAGCTTTGACCTTTCGTTATATTATTAGACAAAACAGACGATTCGTTGTAACGTTCTCGACTTTTAATCCTTGTCTGAATTTTGAATTTGTTTTCTCTGTCTGCTCCTTCTTCGTCTTGTGTACTATTATTTTTTTTCTCTTCTCTCTCTCTCTCTCTCTCTCTCTCTTTTTTTTTTGGGGGGGGGGGTGGGGGCGACCGCCCCCTACCTGGCTAGGAGCCTGTTCCAATGAGAATTATTTATAAAAAGAGCCTTCACCGATATACCAAGTATCCCACGTACCACAGTGCTTCCCCAAATAATTGTGTTACTATAGTTATGAAAACATTGATCTTTATATAATTCAGAGGTTGTTGTTATGGAGTTTAATCCGACTAAGAGCCAAAATCTGATAGTGAGAGAGGGGGGGGGCCCCCTCTCACTATCAGATTTTGGCTCTTAGTCTGTCTGTCTGTTCGTCTCTCTCTTTCTCTCAGTCTCTGTGTCACTCACTCTGTGTGTGTGTGTGTGTGTATGTGTGTGTGTGTGTCTCTCTCTCTCTCTGCTTATGTCTCAATCTGTTTTCTGTCTCTGTCTCTCTTGTTCTGTCTTTCTTTTATAAATAATTTCATCCTCTTACCGTACTCGCATCTGTCTCCACAGTGGCTACCCGGGCAGGTGCAGCTAAACCCCTTATCTGTTTCCTCACAGGTTCCTCCTGGTTCACAGGGGTTCGATAAACACGCTGAAATGACATCACACAATGTGCATGTAACGATTTATAAACCAGACGCCATAAATTGACAATTTGAAAACTGACCCTTTAATATCTTACACTTTAACACATTGTTCGGAGTAACTTTTCATTTTTACACTTCTTTTAATAACATAAATAAATTGAAGCATTTTTTTTAAGTTCTTGATTATATTTGTAGGTATGAATTAATTGCACAGTTAAATGAGGTGTTACGTAGGAATAATAATGTAAAGGGCAAACGACGAGAAAGACATAAGACACATTATATACCTCTGTTTAGAAATCTAGCTATCTGATTGGTCGAAATTGGAGCCTCGACTTTAGCCATTCCCATAAAGAAACGAACAATGCCAGTACCGGTAAAAGTTGATGAGTGAGATTCCCGCAGGATTCCGGGTACCGGGAAAGTAGTAGAATTTTAGAAACTGAGTATGTGCGAGCGCGGATACAATACAGTGCTTTTTGTCTGCGATTCCCAAATGATTGTAACTTTTAGTCCTCTTTTCAGCGAAGAATAACAGACAGTGTATTATAATATCCCTTGTGTTTTAACAAATCTTTACTCAAGAAAAGGATAAGGTAAGAATTCTTGGTAGATTGTTGTGTCAATTCGGTATATAAAGGACATATCGAGAGCAAGAGAAAATTAACGAACATCCGAAAACATAACAGAGGGAGAACGAGAGGCAGATGCGGGAAAGGGAGAGGGTGAGAGAGCAAAGAGACAGGCAGAGACGGAGGGAGACAGAGCAAGAGAAAATTCATAAAATTGCCTGAAACGTGTGCAAAAAGGAATTGTAGAGGATTTAGAGCATTTTGATACTTTGCGGACGAATATTAACCTTGATCATAATAATTTTGAATGAGAAATGACTTTCTGTTACGAAGATATGATCATGAGTTGAATTTTAGAAAACCTCACAAAATGGCACGTAGATGACGTCTGAAGGATCTGATGACCTTGAAAATGTTGCTGTCACGTTTATTGACAATGACCTATGAATGTGTCAAAATTGAAAGAAATTGACTGTACCGATCTTGAGCTATCCTCTACAGCAAAAAGTGTGTCTGTGTGTGTGTGGGGGGGGGGGGGGATATATACAAATAAATAATAAAGAAGAAAAACAATTATGACGAAATTATGAGGTGATCGGTCGAAACGAAAAACCACCTAATAAATAATTTATAAATAAATTAACAATATTAAAGAAAGAAAATTCGAAAACGACAGACCACCTAAAAAGGTGCATGACTCCTTGTGACCGTTGATCTGGCCTTTAATAGGCTCAATCTTTCTTTAGCATTCTTTATATGTGTAATATTGTCAATATAACATAACATACAGCACGGGTAATGTTTGAAAAGCTGTTACTAATAAACCTAACATCAGCTAGCTACCTTTGCCACCAAAATGAAGTTCACAATTAATTACATTAGATGGTGAGGTGTAAGATTTGTTAAAAAATTTGTTTTGTATATGTTATTTTTTTTAACGGAGGATTGAGAGTTTTAAATACTTGTGCGACTGCATGTAGTTTATTCAGTGACTCCAGTGACAATTATATGATTCTCTGGAATTGGGTACGATTCATAATATAATTAAAGAACTTTAACCGGGTGTTCGCAATTCTAGATGGTTTTGGGTACTAAACTAGCTGCCGCAGAGCAAGGGCCAAAATAGGGGTAACATTTTTGTTCTCACTGTACTCGATGTGTACTTAAGATATGTCAGATTTGTTTCAGGGGGGGGGGGGTATGTGCGCCTATGGAACATCCTAGATACGTCATTGAATTTTCCAGTCTGTAGGCAACTCATGGGAGTACTATGATATAGGGTTACACCACAGAGAAATTACCCTAAAGAGAGGTTAGTCCAAACTGTTGTTTAAATGTCGTGTTTATGGTACGTGTTTTTTCTTCTTCATATTTCCCTGTCTCTATTTTGTATTCTGAAGGAAATTAAATGAAAGCTAGATTATGAGTATTTTATTCTATTGTTCTCACGTTTAGAGCAGTGTATTCCTTCAAATCCCGTCGAGCATTGGCATTTGAAGCTTTCCATAGTCTCTTCACACCAGCCGTTTTCACAAGGTTTATTGTCACAATCTAGGAAATGATATTGATAAATTAATACAAATATGATTAAAACATGAGATGACCCCTCTGGTAATAAGGACCATTACATTGATAATGGGATGGCAGGAAATACAATAGGCTTCGTTGATGTTCCAGATATAGGTGCATGACTCAGGAATGTTGAGCCAGCCAGACAAAATT